ACTAGTGGTTCCCACCTCACCCCCACTACCTGCTCCTTGGGTTCAGCCTCCAGCTCCAGGATGGGGGAAGGCTCATCTCATCCCGTGCCCTGTTCTCCTTCCCAACTCTTCTACTCCCCTCCCACTGCCGACTTCTCTGGCTTGCCTGGGAGAGACTTGGAGGGAGCCTCTGGAGTATACAGAAAGGTGAGCCCCACTCACTGAGGCGAGTCTCCTGAAGAAGACTGCGCCAGCCAGTGTCCCCAGGCCATTGCTCTCCCTTTATGACTACTACCTACATGCCTTCTCCTCCTCCACCTTCCTTCCCTCCCCAAACACCTTCAAACGTGCCGCTCTAATTTCACCTCCCACCCAGACTGAGAATTATGTAATCTTGGACATGTCAATGTTTTTGTTAATTCAGTCATTTGATTGGGGGTTTGTACAACTCTTATCACAATCCACACATAGATCCATTGTGTCAAGCACTTTTGTACATTGGTTTCCCTCATAATTCTCAAAACATTTGCTTTCTACTTGAGCCCTTGGTATCAGTTCCTCAATTTTTCCCTCCCTTCTCCCTCCCCCAGACATATCACTTTTTATATGTCATTAACACCTATGAAAATGTCTTCCCCCCGGGGGGGGGCGGGGGGGGGGCATGCCATTTCCCTCATTCCTTTATCGGCGCGCTCTCTCTCCTAAGTGTTCTGGGCATCAGGCGATACTCTCCTTCCTCCTTTCTGCTATGTCCAGTGCCTCCTGCACCCAGTACCAACACACAGACACACACCCTTCTACCTCCGAGTAGTTCCCAGGTATATAGAGGCACCCATGATGGTCCTGTCTCTGCTGTCCAGAGATGGACTTCATGTGGTTCTCTGCTGAGCTCAGATGAAGCACAGGAAAGTAGCAGTGCCGTCCCCACCACTCCCCTCAGCTCCCCACCGGGGATCTGGTTAGTCTTGGCCTCCCATAGTGCAGAAGATCTGAGATTGGGAAATCGGAGGAAATAAAGGAAGAGGGCCTAGTCTCTCTTGGGTTGCCTCTGAGTTGGGGGCATTCATAGTCTCGTTTAATCTCTTTATTTTTCCATGCCCTTTTCCGGCTAGCTCCCCTCTGCCAGGAATCTCAGGTAAGGGGTCTCCTGCTCTCTACCTCCACTGTGATTCCCTGGAACTAACTCCCGCTCCTTCTGGTTTCTCAGGGCCAGCATCTGGCAGGCACCTAGAAATACCCTTTGTATGCAACGCTTTCCCGGCCCCCCAGGCCCACATGTCTACCTACTTCTTCAACTGCTGCTGCCAGATCCTTCAGGAGCTCCTGCAGAAGGCTGTGAGGAGGCAGGAGGGAAAGAAGAGGAATAGCGGCTAGAGCGGGGAGGGGGGGGATGGCCAGAAAAAGACCATCTTGTGTGAGCCAAGGGAGGAGGCTTGTCCTAAGGGATTCTGTGGCTCACTTAGCCAGCTGTACCTTTGATTTGGGATAATGACATGAAGAAACTGAGACTCAGGGAGGATTCTTACTCAGGATTTTACTCCAAAGCCCTTTTGGCCCCTGGTTCTGCTTCTGAGTCTTTGGAACTGAAACTCACACAGTATCAGTCTAGGCCACAGGACAAACTTGAAACTGAGCCCCAGCAAATCGGACTTGGAGTGCTTATGTAATTCCTGTTGCCTCAGACCCAGAGGAGATGAGCTGTAGCGTGAGATCAAGAGTGACCGAGGTTCAAGTGCCATCCTTGGAGTGGCACAGTAACTTCTCCCCCTCGTCCTCCTATATGACTGCCCATCCCCACCATAGCTTTTCTCTGCCCATCAGGGCCATCCTGGGTCCTGGGGAAAGTGTGAGTGACACTGGTTTTGAGCCAGAGCCTGGGCTAAAGCTACTGCATGGACTTTCTTACAACTGCCCTGAAACTCTGGTCGTCCCCTGGGCACCAAGTTGCCTTCCCGTGTCAGCAGAGCGAGCAGAGCCGAACTGAAAGCAAGAGCGGCTAGATGGGGCAGATCAACTAGCAAGGAAAGCAAGGCCTAGAGTGAGCACGAGTAAGCCTGTGCTGGCCTTGCTTACTGGATACACCGTCCCTGTAAGGCAGGGGTTCTCACCCTTCCTCACGCCGCCACCCTTTCACACAGTTCCTCATGTGGTGGTGACCCCCCCAACCATAAAATTATTTTCGACGCTACTTCATCACTGTCATTTTGCTACTGTTATGAATCAGGCGACCCCTGTGAAGGAGTCATTCGACCCCCCAAAGGGGACGCGACTCACAGGTTGATAACCACTGCTGTAAGGGTTGGGAGAGGAAACAGGTGCCAGTCATGCCTAGAAGCAGAATCTTAAATGTGCGGTGTGGGGAAATCTGAAATTGTTTACTACGGACTAGTGAATAAGCACAGATAAACCCTTGCTTGTCTTGCTTATTAGGTAATCTGACACTGCTGCTAGAGGACAGACTCAAACTGTCCCATAAGGCTTCCGAGGCTGCAATCTTCATGCAAGTAGAGCTGTCTCCCAAGGAGCAGATGGTGGGCTTAAACCAGCAACCCTTTGGTTTGCAGTCCAGCTCTTTAACCACTGGGTCACCCGGGCACATTAGATGTCAGAGCTCCCAGAAAAGCAGTAGAGGAACGTTTCAGCCCCAATCCTGGGCGTTGTCAAGCATCCTAGCCTTTCGGGCTACTTTTGTCCTCCGCTTTCTAACAAAACACACATATACACTCCCACGTCATGTTGCCCCCACCCCTCCCAAATCTCGGACTTTCTCACCAGAGAAGGCATTGGACACACTGAGCAATTTCACAATGGTTGACCTCTGGTTTCTTTTAAAAGAAAAAAAATAGATTAAATCCACAAATCGTCATGCCAGCCTAAGGAAAATATCTGTTTCTGCTAGTGCTAGTCTACTATTCTAAATGTCTCACACTTATCTCGTGTAATCCTCACATAACACTGAAGTAATGTGATTATTCTGCTTGTTAGTGGAGGAAGCCGAAGGACCTGCAAGTTTCCTCTGTCTTTATCACATGACTGGCAAATTATGACTTAGGGAATATTATTACTGGCAGATTATTACTAAGGGAAAAAGAATTGGAAGGCATTCGCTCAGATGGATTTCAGAGTCATTCACATTGTGTACGTTTTTCTAGCAACTCGTACTGGCAAAAACCCTTTTTGAGATGGTTTTAGTTATCTAATCCTGTCATCACAAAAATAGCACAAGTATTTTAACAGATGGAAATGTATTCTCTCACCGTTTAGGAGGCTAAAAGTCTGAATTCAGGGTACCGGCTCTAGGGGAAGGGCCTTGTCCTCCTTGCACATCTGTGAGCCTGACGTCTGACATCTGTAAGAGATGTCATAGCATTAATCTTTCCTTGGGGCTAGAAGTTCTCAGGACAGGGGGTTAGGAACCAAGAGCACACACTCAGCTCCCAGCTCTTCTCTCTCGGCGATTGTAATGTCCTTCTCTATCTCCACTTCTCTCTCCTTTCACCTCGTGCAAGATCAAAGCTGTGTCTCAAGCAAGGGTCGGGAACCGAGGAAGGGGCTGCCTGGAGTACTTGGGTAAGACTGGCATAACTCTCAGAAGCCTGTGATTCAAAATGCACCAAGCACTCAAACCATCAAGATACAGCAGGGGTGTCACACGGGCCACCTGCGGCCCCGAGGTAGTCTGTTGTGGCCCACGATGCTCTGAAATGACATGTGACCAGGGAGTTGCGTGTATGGTATTGCCTCCATCTCCCCGAAGCGCTCTTTTCCTCAGGATGATTTTTTCTATGTTCATTGTATTTCAGAGCATCGTGGGCCACAAAGTTACCTCAGGAGCTGCTGCATGCGGCCCCCTGGCAGCCAGTTTGACACCCGATATATAGAGAGAGGTTAGGGTTTCCCTATCCGAAAATGGAGAATAATGGAGAATAACCACACCCTACTGGGAGGCATAGGCCAGGCAAACTGACACCTCTTTGGAGGGACACAGTTCAACCCAGGTCGAGGGGCGGGGGTGGGGTGTCTCTTTAACACCGTGGCCTGATGAGGAAAGTATCAACTCACTCAAGCATTTGATTTCGGTGGTCGGAATTCTAAAACCCCAAACCTGTCCATTTGGCATTTCCTTGTCCAATGCGAACATGCGCTCTGAACCGAGAATCTGGAGCAGTGTATAGTGAAGAACGGGAAAGCAGCAAGTCGTAAGCCATCCTTATCGGAGGAAAAGGGTCCATTTCCGGAGCCGCCTCTACACTCACACGGTCTCTTTCTGCCAGTGGCTCGGGTGAATCTTTTCCACCGTGTCCACTCGGCCGCCGCCCCCGCTTTGCACGGCCTGAGCACACGCGCTTCTGGGGGATCAAGGGCTGGGTCCTGGGGTGGGGGCGGGGCGGCGGCAGAAGCGGCCAGAATCCGCGCTTCACCGACTCCCCAGTTGCCGCTCCGCAGAGCCCCCTCAGACTCCTCAGGAAAATGGAGCTGCGGCTTCCATCCCGGCCGGCTTTTGGAGAGGGGGCTCTGAAGCAGGCTCTTTAAAGCGAACAGAGCTGAGAAAGGACAGAGCCTTCAGGTCACCCCCCTTCCGGTTCACGTTGACCCTGCCCCTCAGACACCACCTTCCCGCCTCCACCACTCGCCCTAGCCCCCTCAGAGCGCTCCGCCCGAGAGGAACGAAACGCCTCGTCCTCATTGGCCGGAATGCCTGTCAGTCTTTCCGTGAACGCTTCGGAGCGGGGCCTTTCGGAGGCCTCCGGTCCCGCCCCCTCATCTAATTGGTTTATTTGAACAGGCCCCCACATAACTCGGCCGTTCATAGGCCGGTATGAAAGGCTACCGACGATTGGCTGTTTTTAACGGCGCCGGAAAGAGAGGGTCCGGGATTGGCGGATCCGGTTTGGGCGCGCTGGAGGAAGGTTCAAGTGGACTGCTCCCCTCTCCTAACCGACGCGCGTCTCTGGAGAAGTAGTTTAGTGGTTCCCGCGTCGTCTCGCGGCGCCTGCCCGTTTGGCCGCCTCCAGGGTTCTCGAGCCCTTTCACGACCGTCACCATGGAGGTGGCACCCCTGCAGGTGCGGCTCGCGGAGGGTCCGGGCAGTGGAGCCGCAGCGCGGTCGGGGCATCGCCGGCGGTCCGTGCGGGGCCGAGGGGCCCTGGGCTGAGGGGAGGCCCGGCGGCGGGTGAGGAGCCCGTATTCCCCGTTTCCCGGCCGGGAGCGGGGCGAGACCCCCTGGGGTGCCAGGGATTGACTTCTGAGCGGCCAGCCCGTTTGTGGGGACATCGGGGGGCCGCGGGGGGCTCGAGGTCGCAGGGACCCCGCTTTGCAGCGGGCCGCCGGCCGGCATGGCCCCCCAAAGTGCCCCAAACGTTCACGTGGCCAAAAGACGGACCCGCTAAGCTCCGAAGGCCAGCTGCTGAACGACCCTCCCTTAGGTACCAGGGGGGCCCCCAGGAAAAGTTGGGGCGTCGAGGAGCCAAGTGAGTGCCATCTGTATATGTACCGTCCAGAGCAGGGTTCCAGAGAAATGTCCCCTCGTCAGTCACCCCGGGGGAGAGACCTGTGCACTTCAATGGCCAGGTCTGTACCAAACTGTAAACCCCACGACTTTCTAGATTATTAACAAGCGACGGGCACCACGGGCTGAATCCGACCGCCCTGGTAGACATTAGGTTGGTAGTGGCTGATCCCAGCCTGTGCCTTTAAAAAAGCTCTCTTTCAAATTGCTAGCCTCTCAACGACAATATGCAAATCAGCAAAACCAAGAAAAATGAAGACGCGAAGAAACGGCTGTCGATCGAGAGGATCTACCAGAAGAAAACGCAACTAGAGCACATTCTGCTGCGGCCGGACACCTACATTGGCTCCGTGGAACTGGTGACCCAGGTAAAACCAAACTCTAAGTGCGGGGTATGTCGTAACCAAAAATGTAGCCTCCTGTCCATCCGCATAAAACGATTAGGCAAAACAAATGAGAGCGTCGACAATAACTATTATTTCTTTGCCTTATTTCTAGCCAATGTGGGTTTACGATGAAGATGTTGGCATTAACTATAGGGACGTCACCTACGTTCCTGGTTTATACAAAATCTTTGATGAGATTCTAGGTGAGTAGATTCTTTCACCTAAAGATGTACAGGGTCAACTCTTTGACAAGTAGCATTTCCCTCTCAAACAAAGTCTCTGTAACCAGGGCTCCTGTCATTTTGAATAATGCAGTCCATGGCTTGAACAACACTGACGTTGGGGAGATGAATCCACAGATAACTCTGACTCCCCCAAACTTAGCTACTGATAGCCTACTGTTGACCTGAAGCTTGAACAATAAGTAATTGATACAACTTTTCTAGGCTATTAAGCTGCACCTACATAAAAAGCTGCATTTCAATGCAAGATAAAAAGGTATTTTGAGAAAAGTGCAAGATTTTTATAGATGTTGCAAAGGCTTCATGAGGTTTGTTTTTTTTATTATAATGGTCCTTAGGCCAGATTCATTTCTCTTGAAATGACCAACAAACACAGCTGCAGACCTCAATCAAAGGGCGGTTTTGTTTTTGTTTTTTTAATGTCATGCCTTTTCCATGCTTCTTGATAGCACTTTCAGCATCACTAGTGCCACTTTATGGGCCCCGTGGTGCAGTTTATGGTATTGCATTAACAATGAAAAATCTGCAGAACTACAAGATTTCACTTTCTACCGACATAATTTAAAAATCCACATGTAAGTGGGCCCATGTTGTTCAAGGGTCAACTGTAGCTCCCAAAGGTGAGGCTGTCTCTTGGAGCTCAGGAATTTCCTTCTTAGAATTAGACAAAAATTCCTAAATTAACACTTGGTTAATGCTGCTCTGGTGCTGTTTGGAAATACCTTTTCTACATCTAAAAGTTAAAAGAATGTTTTCAAAAAGATTGTAATTTCTTGTATGTATTTTATTATTTTTCAGTCAATGCTGCAGACAACAAGCAAAGAGACCCAAAAATGTCTTGTATCAGAATCACAATTGACCCGTATGTATTTTATATTTTGTTAGATTGAATTGTGTTCTCAGTTGTGTTTACTTTGAATGTCAATGAACTTGCTTTTCTTTCCTTTTTAATCAAAACTCTGTAAAGATACAGAACACTAAAATGAACACATGGAACTTACCATGTACATCCAACAGTTACCAACATTTGTCATAAATACTCCGTTTTTGTTGTTCTAAATCACTTCAAAATAAATTACAGATATTCAGATATCCTCCCCAATTACTAGTAAATAATTGCTCTAAGTATTCTGGAGCCTAGAATTTTTGGAGTTTGTGTGCAGTTTTTCAACTTTTTCTCATGGTGCTATTCAAATAATAAACCAGCAGGTGGTAGTAGAGAATAATTTTATCTTAATATAAATGTGTGTGTCTGGGTGCTTATTTTACCTTTTTATAGTCTGGTCACTAGGAAGTAAACTAGACTAAGTTGTTTTTGTAAGTATTGTGAAGTACTACAGTGAAATACTTGGATACCCCAGGAACTTGATATAACTGTCTTTCCAAAAATGGTAATTGACTAGTTTTAATTAGTTTTTTAACGTGCTATTTAAGGAGCCTGGTGGTGCTGTAGGTAAGCTTGGATAGCTAACCACAAGGTCAACCGTTTGGACCATTAAACACTGCAGAAGAAAGGCAAGGCTGAGTGCCCCCATAAGTTTTTGCCTTGGAAACCCTATAAAGGGTCATTGTGAGCAAGCATTGACTCCATGGCAGTGGGTTGGGTTTTTATATTAGTGTTTGGAATAAGCCATAGCATGCACTCAATTATACTGTATATACTCATGTATAAGTTGAGTTTTTCAGCACATTTTAATGCAGTTTTTGTGGTAAAATTGGGTGCCTTGGCTGATATTCGAGTCGGCTTATATGGTAACTAAAATATTCACATCCTGTCTTCTAAAAGTTAACCTAAAATAAGCCTGGATTTTCAGCATTTTATTGGAAGGCAAGGCCAGTCTGATGTTCTTCTCTTTTATATTTGCTTAACAATATAACTTTTTGGTGGGAATGCTAAAGGATCGAGAAGAGTACAAACGCTCCTCTTAAAAGCAGTAAAATATTATTTCCAACTTTTGTGCCCCTTTTTCCACCTGAAAGAAATCATTTCCCTTTGTTTACGCTAACATTCAAAATGTTTCATATTTTTACACATTATCAGTTGTTGCCCAGATGTAGCAAAAAAGGTTACATTTTATTTTTGTTTAACTTTCCTTTGGCCTTGACACTCCTGAAATACCATGGGGGAAAAGTGGTTTATGCTGAGTTTCAGAAAGTATATATGAAAAAGTCAATAGGAAATTGAGATTTGTATATTTCTATACTTTAGAAATAAGTATGCAAAGTTGAGCTTAATGTTTATTTTACCCAAAAAACTTTAATTTGTTTTCTTAGGGAAAACAATTTAATTAGTATATGGAATAATGGAAAAGGTATTCCTGTTGTTGAACACAAAGTTGAGAAGATGTATGTCCCAGCTCTCATCTTTGGACAGCTCCTCACTTCTAGTAACTATGATGATGATGAAAAGAAAGTAACAGGTACAGTACTGAGGAAAATAGCAAACACATTAGTTGCTGAAAAAGACATCTTGCCTTTTTTTTTTTTAATAAAGTTGTTGCATCCTCCCCCCCCCAAAAAAAAAAAAAGACATCTTCTAAATTATCTGTTATTTGCCCAGGTGGTCGAAATGGCTATGGAGCCAAATTGTGTAATATATTCAGTACCAAATTCACTGTGGAAACCGCTAGTAAAGAATATAAGAAAAAGTTCAAGCAGGCAAGTAAATAAGCATCCATGTCTTGATTGTGAATTTTACTGTAGTAGCAGTTTTATATTGACGTTAATGGTTAATTTTATTTACTTTAACTTTAAATAGAAAAGTATTCTTGAAAATAATTTCTTTTCTAGACTTATACATTTGCGTTATTTCTAGTTTGTGAGAACAGTTTTTCACCTTTCCTATTCATAGACATGGATGGATAACATGGGGAAAGCTGGCGAAATGGAACTCAAGCCCTTTAGTGGTGAAGATTATACGTGTATCACCTTCCAACCTGATTTGTCTAAATTTAAAATGCAAAGCTTGGATAAAGACATCGTTGCACTGATGGTTAGAAGAGCCTATGATATTGCTGGATCCACCAGAGATGTTAAAGTCTTTCTCAATGGAAGTACATTGCCGGTGAGTATTCTACTGGGTGTTGTGGTCATTATTAAATGCAAAATTGATTTTTTTCTACTTCTTTCCTATGTCTTTCTTGTCACTTCCCAGATATGTTTCTGAAATGAGAAAATGGTTTCTTTTTTAATATCATTGCCTTTATTTCCTATGTAGGTTAAAGGATTCCGTAGCTATGTGGACATGTATTTGAAGGATAAGGTAGATGAAACTGGAAACTCATTGAAAGTTATCCATGAACAAGTAAACCACAGGTGGGAGGTGTGTTTAACAATGAGTGAAAAGGGTTTTCAGCAAATGAGTTTCGTCAACAGCATTGCTACGTCTAAGGTAATTTTATTCATGAATTATTATCATATGAGTTTTCATTGATGTTGATATATAAAATGAATTCAGATCATTAGCTATGTGCTGTTTATTGTTTGGGTTAGTAATGTTAAAATATTAGTATATTAAGAATTCTGGGCTTGTCATTTTATCTCACCAGGGTGGCAGACATGTTGATTATGTAGTTGACCAGATAGTGGCTAAACTTGTCGATGTTGTGAAGAAGAAGAACAAGGGTGGTGTTGCCGTTAAAGCACATCAGGTACAATATTTTAGCAGTTTTCTTTTACTAAAATCAAAAGAGAAGAGATAAGCTATAAATAAAGCATGAGTATCATTTTCAGTGATTTAAATATCAACTTTCACTGCAGGTGAAAAATCACATGTGGATTTTTGTGAATGCCTTAATTGAAAACCCAACTTTTGACTCTCAGACAAAGGAAAACATGACATTACAGGTCAAGAACTTTGGATCAACATGCCAACTAAGTGAAAAATTCATCAAAGCTGTGAGTACATTGAGGGAAAGAGAAGTACCTTACTTTATATTCCATTTCCCTTCTCAGCTTTGCAAAAACAGAACCTCCTACACTGAACTTCTCTAGTCTTTTTTAATCTGAACAGGAAGATTTTTTTTAATATACAAAGTTTTATCCCATTGGTTTACCAGGAGCTTAGTTTACATTTATATGGTTCTCAATCATGTTCAGCTCAGAACACTTCCAAATTCCATCCTCTAGCTACTTCCCTACCAGGCATCTTCAGTTCACTTAACTGCCTTAAACCTGAATTACCTTTTGCTCACTGAGCTCTATACAGTGCACTCCGGACCCTCAATAAACAAAACTATTTCCTATGGTAATAAATGGAATCCATAGGTGGTGCGGCTATCTTAGTCTGCTGCTAACAAAAATGTGCACATTTCCAGTTCATTCAGAGGAACCTCAGAAGAAAGGGGGCCTGGATGGATAAAGCAGCCATTGAAAACTATGGAACACAGTTTTACTCTGACACACGTCAGAATTGATTCAATGGCAACTGGTTTTATCAAAATAAAAAGCACAAAGCAACCCATAAGAATTATTTCTTGGAGGGCAATGAATGTACAAATGTGCTTTCCACAATTGATGTGCATATGGATTGTGGTAAGAGTTGTATGAACCCCTAATAAAATGATTTAAAGAAAATAAAATGATGGCAACATGTATAAATATGCTTGATACAATTGATGTATGGATTGTTACAAGAGCTGTAAAAGCCCCGGATAAAATGATCCTTTATTTAAAAAATAAAAAATAAAAAGAATTATTTCTTGGATATTTCAGTACTTGCCCACCATCATTTCTAAATTACCACAATACATCTCTTATTCTTTCTCTACAATATACTTGTGTAATCTTTTTGTTAGAACACACATTTTCTGTTCATTCTCTGTCTTAGTTATCTAGTACTTCTGTAACAAATGCCTCAAGTGTATAGCTTTAAGAAACATTCATTCATTTGCTCTATAGTTTAAGAGGCTAGAATCTGAACTCTGCACCAGCTCTATGGAAAGATCCTTGTCTCTTCAAAATCTGTGACTCTAATGTTCCTTGAAGATCTCCATGTTTCTCTGTATAAATCTTGGTCTAAGACTTAGCACAGGAAGCCTGGGTGCAAAGAATTCACTCTGCACCAAACTCTTTCTGTTTTTATCTCATAAGAAAAAAAGTGTGATTTGGGTGGGGATAACGACTTGAGAGTGTGACTTAACTCTTGCCCTCTTATAAGGCTGTGACTCAAAACATTCCCCATATTGATCTTGCCTCGTTTTATAGACGTTTAATTTGCAGGCATAAAAAAGTAGAGGATAATTTTTGCAAAATAGAGAATAGCCACACAATATTGGGGATCATGACCTAACCAAGTTGATAGGCATGTTATTATTGGGTGCAGTCACATCTGTTCCACCTTACAGCAACCCTATGAACCACAGAATAAAGCACTTATCCATCCTGCACCATCCGCACAATTTCGAGGGCCTGCCCTCTGCTTAACCAAGCACGATAATCCTTTTACAGGGACAAGTCTCCTGATCACACGCTCAAAGCATGTAAGATGAAGAAGTCTCGCCATTCTTGCCCCTAAGGAGCATTCTCTGTCTGTTCTTCCAAGACAGATTTGTTTGTTCTTTTGACAGTCCGGTATTTTCAATATTCTTTGCCAGCACCATAACTCGTATACATCAGTTCTTATTCTGTGTCCAGTTTTCACATGTATAAGAGGCAGCTGAAAAGAATACTATGGCACCTTAGTCCTCAGTAACATGCTTGCTTTTCAGCACTTTAAAAGAAGCCCTGTGCAGCAGATTTATTCCATGCAGTGTGTCATTTGATACATACATTAGGAGGACATTTTTCAGTGACACTCATTTGAAACCTTTCAGTGACTTCCACCTTTAGGAAAAATCCAAATTGCTTAATTTGGCCAACAAAACCTTGACATAGTCTAGCTCTAACTTAATTTCAGCACATTTTTTTCCCTTTATTTCACTTCTACTGGCTTTCAATTACTCATGCTTATAATCTCTTCCCATCTTAAAACTTTCTTACATGCCACTCTGCCTGAAATCCGTTTCACCTAGCTATTTCATATCTTAAACTTTATTTTCTTAGGAAAACATTTCCTTTCCACACTGCCCCCGCCTCCCAATGAAACTCGGTTCCAATGTATTATAATTGGACTTGCCATTATATGTAGCACATTTTCTGATCCCTAACACGAAACTTCTCATTTTCAGGCAATTGGCTGTGGTATTGTTGAAAGCATACTAAACTGGGTTAAGTTTAAGGCCCAAGTCCAGTTAAACAAGAAGTGTTCTGCTGTAAAACATAACAGAATCAAGGGGATTCCCAAACTTGATGATGCCAATGATGCAGGTACACGTTTAATAATGTTTCTGAAACTTGTTCAGATTTGGTTTAGTCTTTTAACTATCTACTCGTGTATAAGCCACATTTTTTTTTCAGCACATTTTTAATGCAGTTTTTGTGGTAAAATTAGGTGCCTTGGCTGATATTCGGGTCGGCTTATTCTCAAGTATGTACAGTATATATTTCCCCCCTAGATTTCAAAAGTAGCCCATTCATTGTTGGAAATTAAAATTGTTCATTAAAATCACCTGCTATTTTCAGGAGCTCTGGCGGGATAGTGGTTACATATTGGGTAACCACAAGGTCAGCAGTTTGATTCCAATAGCCACTCTACTCCTGTAGAAGGTTGCCGCCTTGGAAACCCACAGGGGCAGTTCTGTCATGTCCTATAGGATTGCTATGAGTCAAAATCGACTCAATGGCAGTGAGTTTGAATTTTGCTTGTTAATATTTTTTTTTCAGCCATCTGTGAGAAAGTGTTTTATGTGATAGCCACATATTAGGGATATGTTCCTTGCAATTAATATTCAACAGAATAGTTAAATAATTTCCTACTCCTGATCACTTGAAAGGCACTGGTGGCACAGTAGATTAAGCACTGGGCTGTTAACCGAGAGGTTAGCAATTCAAACCTACCAGCCACTCTATTAGAACAAGATGAGACAGTCTGCTTTCATCAAGACTTACAAGCTTAAAAAAAAAAGAGCCTTTAAGCTATGGAGTGGTTTTGTTCTGACCAATAAGATTACTGAGTCAGAATTGACTCGACAGCAATGAGCTTTGTTTTACTGACCATTTATGTCAATTCCAGTATTTGACGGTTTTTAAATAATGCTGAAGTGTGATTAGTTTGTTGTATAAAACAAATGTGTTAGGGGAAAAAAATGAGCTGATGACAAGGGCTCAAGTAGAAAGCAAATGTTTTGAGAATGATGAGGGCAACAAATGTACAAATGTGCTTGACATACATTGGATGGATGTATGGATTATGATAAGAGTTATACGAACCCCCAATAAAATGATTTTTTTAAAAAACGTGTTTATATACTAGTTTACTACCCAACAAATATTCTAATGACAGGATCAAATCTTTAACAGCAATATAAATACTATCAGAAACTAAGTTATTTTTTATTTAATGTGAACTTTAGCTAAAATATATCTTTAATTTACTCCTTAGTTATAATTATGTTAAATTATGCTTTATCACAAGCGTGAGATGTCTGAGTTAGTACATTTGAGGCTGAACTAAATGTGCTATCATTTTGTGGACGTTTATTTTAGGAGGCCGAAACTCTGCTGATTGTACACTCATCCTGACTGAAGGAGACTCAGCTAAAACTTTGGCTGTTTCAGGCCTTGGAGTGGTTGGGAGAGACAAGTATGGGGTTTTTCCACTTCGAGGAAAAATGCTCAATGTTCGAGAAGCTTCTCATAAGCAGGTAGAATATGAAACTATCTTTAGACTTGAAATGTAGTTATAATGCAAGATTTTGTGCTTATATTTCATTCCCCCCTGGGCATTTTGAAATAAACTTTGTACAGTTTCTTTAAGAAATGTGTTACATTGCATCATATCTTAACAGACCTTCATAATATAAGTATAGCTGAAAATAGTGGAGCGCAAGAAAATATAAGTAATGTATGCAGTTGTATTTCTCTGACCTATCGGAAAGTTTAAATAAAATGTTTTTTATATATTCCACTTCAGATCATGGAAAATGCTGAAATTAACAATATCATTAAGATTGTGGGTCTTCAGTATAAGAAAAATTATGAAGATGAAGATTCATTGAAGAGTCTCCGTTATGGGAAGATAATGATTATGACAGATCAGGTCAGATTTGTGATTAGATAGTTCAGATTTTTTGTCTAATGGTTGTGTATTATATATTTTATGTAAAGTTTAAATTAATCTGAATTTGAACAGCCTTTTAAAAATTCCTGTAGAAAGTATTTTTGAAAAATTACCAGTTGGCTGATCATAATTTTAGTTAATTCTCTTGTACTTTGGCTTTCCAAATATTTTTTAGGACCAAGATGGCTCCCATATTAAAGGTTTGCTGATTAATTTTATTCATCACAACTGGCCTTCTCTTCTAAGACATCGTTTTCTGGAGGAATTTATCACTCCCATTGTAAAGGTAAACTAATTTCTAACAATCAGAAGTGATTCCCCACCCCCGCCCCCCAAAAAGACTCTTTTCTTCAAGCCTGGATAAACATATGACCCCAGACATGTGTGATGGTAGGAAGAACTTTCCTCAGTGTGGAAAGTTGCAACAATGTTCTTTACCATAGGTATCTAAAAAGAAGCAAGAAATGGCTTTCTATAGCCTTCCTGAATTTGAAGAGTGGAAGAGTTCTACTTCAAATCATAAAAAATGGAAAGTCAAGTACTACAAAGGTTTGTCATGAAACTAATACAAAACTTCTCAATTTTGTTTTATACTATAGCGCAAAATTATATGGGACTTTTCTGTATTTGTAGGTTTGGGAACCAGCACATCAAAAGAAGCTAAGGAATACTTTGCAGATATGAAAAGACATCGGATTCAATTCAAATATTCTGGCCCTGAAGATGATGCCGCAATCAGTCTGGTGAATTTTGCATTGTATTTCATATGCCTTCTAATTTTAGAAACCACTGCTTTTGCTAGTCCATCAAAACATTTCCATTGTTTTATATATTAGACTATTTCCAATAAGTATAGCACTGGGAAAAGGTTCAGCTGTTTTAGAAAACAGGTTTTGTTGTTGTGTGTTTGCTTACTTATGTGTTTCCTTGTAGAAAAGATCTTTTGGAATCTCTTAGTACCTTCGTCATCTTTTTCATATTCTTCCTTATAGGCCTTTAGCAAAAAACAGATAGATGATCGAAAAGAATGGTTAACTCATTTCATGGAGGACAGGAGACAGCGAAAGTTGCTTGGTCTTCCAGAGGTAAAAGTCTTTATTACATCCCACATAATTTACTGTTTTGTTATTGGGCCGACCTTATAAGATCACTGTTTATCAAATTTAAGTTACTGAGTAGTTATTTCAATAGGAAATTAATATATTAGGCTACTATAGAAATACTTTTAAAAATCATCTTATGGGGGGCTCTCACAGCTCTTATCACAATCCCTATGTACATCCATTGTGTCAAGCACATTTGTACATATACCATTTTCAGAACATTTTCTTTCTACTTGAACCCTTGGTATCATCTAATTCCCACCCTCATGAACCCTTGATAATAAATGTCCTTTGCCTCCTAGTTTTTACCTCTAGTTCCTTTTACTTTCCTCTTGTCCGACTATCATGTTCTGCCTTCATTTGGGTGTCAGTAATTCCTCTCAGCTACATTACCCTTGATCAAGCCCACCAGGCTTCCTATGCCCTCTTCACCATCGATTTTAGATCACTTGTTGTTCCCTTGTCCCTGAGATTTTTGATACCCCTCTTCCTTCCCCCTGCCTCTCCCTCTGCCGTATCTCCCTGGAACCAATGATCCACTGTTTTCTCCTTGAGATAAAAATAGTATTTCTAGGCCATTTATAGAGGTCTAAATACAGGCATGTATATGTGTAAATATATATATAACAATAGGGAAATAGATCTATGTACATATATTTATTAAGGCAGCAGGTGGGCATTGGGCCTCTCTCTACTCAAAACTCCCTCAATACAAGAAGACTTTGTTCTAATAGCCTGGCACTTGGTGATGCTTACTTTCCTGACACTTGCTGAAGACAAAATGGATGCACGAGCAAATGTGAAGAAAGCTGATGGTGCCCGGCTATCAAAAGATATCACATCTGGAGTCTTAATGACTTGAAGATAAACAAGTGGCCATCTAGGTGAAAAGCAACAAAGCACACATGGAAGAAGTATACCAGCCTGGGCAATCATGGGGTGTAGATGGGATCAGGTATCAGGCATCAAACTCAAGAACAAAAAATCTTTATCTATATGAATGAGGGGGGAAAGTGGAGTGGAGACCCAAAGCCCATCTGTAGACAACTGGGATATCCTCTCACAGAAGGGTCACAAGGAAAAGATGAGCAGTCAGGGTACAGTGTAGCAACGAGACATACAACTTTCCTCTAGTTCTTTAATGCTTCCTCCACCCCCCACTATCATGACCCAAATTCTACCTTACAAATCCGGCTACATCAGAGCATGTACACTGGTACAGATAATAGCTCACAACACAGAGAATCCAGGACAGATAAATCCCTCAGGACTAATAATGAGGGATACCAGCAGGGTAAGCGCAAGGTGGGGAAGAAAGGGGAAACTGATCACAATGATCAACATATAACCCCTTCCCAGGGGGTTGGACAACACAAAAGTGGGTGAAGGGAGACATTGGTTGGTGTAAGACATTAAATTTTTTTTCAATTATCAAGGGTTCATGGGGTGGGGAGGGGGAGATGAGGTGATACCAAGGGCTCAAGTAGAAAGAAAGTTTTGAAATAATGGCCCCCCCCCAAAAGAAGACTTTGTAAATTATCAAGGGTACATGGGGGAGATGGGAGGGAAATGAGCTGATGCCAGGGTCTCAAGTAGAAAGAAAATGTTTTGGAAAAAATGACAGCATATGTACAGATGTGTTTGACACAATGGATATATGTATAGATTGTGATAAGAGCTGTAAACCCCCAATGAGATAAAAAGATTTCTTTTTAAATGATGGAAAAACATGTACAAATGTGCTTGGCACAATGGATGTATGCATAGATTATGATAAAAGCTTTAAGAGCGCTCAATAAAATGATTTTTTTTTTTAAAGAAATACTATTTTATTTAAGCTACCACATTAATGTATTGGACCAGAAAGAGATTACATAGGCAATGCTTTTTCTTTTTTTCCCAATTGCTCAACAATTAAAATGGTCTTTATTTATTTATTTATTGTGAGTCCACGCAGTTAAAACATGCACTAGTGCAAGTCTGCCTGTGCCAGGACCAATGTCTTTGTATTTTCAACCTAAAATAACATCCTTTGTTCCCTCAGGATTATTTGTATGGACAGACTACCACATATCTAACCTACAATGACTTCATAAACAAGGAACTTATCCTGTTCTCAAATTCTGATAATGAGAGATCTATCCCATCTATGGTGGACGGTGAGTTCTAATTTCTTAGTCTGTTTTGTTTTGTTTTCATAAAATAGAAATCAATGCCCCAAAATTAACTGAAAATACCCTACTAGTTTTTGCCATTCTTTTATCTTGAAGGTTTGAAACCGGGTCAGAGAAAGGTTTTGTTTACTTGCTTCAAACGGAATGACAAGCGAGAGGTGAAGGTTGCCCAGTTAGCCGGGTCAGTGGCTGAGATGTCCTCTTATCACCACGGTGAGGTAAACACACTATCTTTAATGTTTCAAAAAAGCATCATAGCAGAAGCACCTGAGAAATTCTCCAAACACTTTTTGGAGGATACGTGCCATCATAAGTAACAATTTCGTATAAACTATCAATACACAGAAATACGTGCATACCCTTTAACCTAGTGATTATATTTCTAATCCTAGAAGGATACTCATGAATAGGTAAGGATCGGTGTTCAAAGATATTTAACCATGTTTACTATAACCTCATGTTAAAATTTCTATATCCAAAACATCTATCAATTGGAAAATTGTTGCAATGAATTGTGATTGATCAGTAAATTTGCTTGTACTGGTATTAAAGAATGTCTATGATCTATTGTCCAAATAAAAAGGGGGCAGAACAAAACTTAAAAGAAAAATGCCTCGAGGTTATACTCTGAAGTATGATTATCCCTGAGAATTAAGACAACTTTGAGTTTACATTAAATGGTGTTTATTTTATGAATGAATTGCTTTTTTGCATTCATTGTAAAACAAACTAAAAGTTCTAGATCAATTGCTGATTTTAAATATGATTATTTTGTTGATTTAAATCAGACTACAGCAGAATTCAGTAATGTTCACCCAACAAATACTTGTTGGGTACCCAGCTTGCACCAGGTATATAAATATGTTCCCACCTTCACTGTAATCACAATTTCACCAGCGGACCAAAACACACAATAAAATATACCTCTATAAACTGAATAGTGGTGTAAAACAAAAGTGACCAATATTAGAAGACAAAGAGTATTTTATTCTGTTGAGATTGAGGAGAAGGAATAGATTTGAACTGTTTCTTCGGGGATGTGTAAAAATATGTAGGAAGTATTGAAAGATAATTTCTGAACTTGGGAGTCAGAGATAGAAAGTTAAGACTGCTTCTTATATATTAATCCAAGACAAGTCACTAAACAAAGCCTTACAGAATTATATTGAGGTTTGTGTGGATGTGTATTATTTAAAGCTTAATGCACTCTTTTTCACCCCCTTCAGATGTCACTAATGATGACCATTATCAATTTGGCTCAGAATTTTGTGGGCAGCAATAATCTGAACCTGCTGCAGCCTATTGGTCAATTTGGTACCAGGTTGCATGGTGGCAAGGATTCTGCTAGTCCTCGATACATTTTCACAATGCTCAGGTCAGTATACTTTTAATTACAAGTGAAATTTCTATTTCAATTTTTCCCCATTCCACTTTTAAAAATAGTTGTGTTGGCCTATAATTCACATACCATATACATGTAATAGTTCAGTCATTATTGAAAGAGTTGTGTCATCATCACAATTTCTAAACTTTTTTTCTCATTTTTGTCATTAGTTCTCCATGTCATTTCCAATTTCGAAACAAGATGAGAGCTGATCATAATAACAATTATTCACTTCATCAAAAAAATGTACTTTTGATGCTGATTCTTGAATCATTTTTTTTCAATTCACTAAAACTTAATTGTGCTTATCTTTGCTGTAGGCAGAAAGTCAAGATATTATTTCAACCTGATCATCATAACCTTTGTATCCCTTGCCAAACTATAGACTTTATACTTCAGTTTCTTGTATTTTCTCCTCTTGCTTTGGGTAAACATTGACCTGTTAGCCAAAAAGTTGGCAGTTCAAACTTACCAGCCCCTCTGTAGAAGAAATATAAGACTATCTGCTTCCATAAATATTTACAACCTCAGAAATCCTATAGGGTCTATGAATCAACTTGATAGCAATGAGTAGGTTTTTATATAGATATTGATTCTCCCTAGTAGATTTTGCCAAATAGCCCCACTTAGGGGCATTTGGACAGTAATTCTGTATTGCATAGGAAAGCCCACAACAACAAAGAATGGCCCAGCCCAGTAGGTCTATGGTGCCAAGGTTCAAAGATCCTGAGGTTGGGTTGGTCTAAGTAAAGAAGTTTGATTACTCTTAAGTACCACAATTGAAATGTCACTTCCTTTTAAAAATCCAATGGAAGAAAGTACATTTTCAATTTTTATCTATCTTCAGGCTTTTGGGGAATTCAAACATAGGTGATCACTCCATCTTTGTTAAAACTCTATTTGGACTCTATTGGTGTTCTTCTGCCTTATTAATCTTCTTTACTCAGCCTTCATAACCTCCAAATACTGAACTATCCCAAGGCTCCTTCATCAAACTTCTTTCCATTATCCACACTTCACATGTGATCCCCTAGCCATCTAGTCCCATAGCTTTAAATCTCTAGCCTTGAACTCACTTGCATGTCCAACTGCCCTCTCACCATTTTCATCTTGAATGTCTAATGAATATCTCAAGTTTACATAAGTCCCAAACTAAATCCCTAGT